ATATAATAGCATGTATTAGACATGTATTAGTGGACATTAGACTTATAATTCTTTTAGTTGAGGTCTTGCTAAGAAAAGCAAGGGCTACTTTGTTATTACAAATTCTAATATTGGTAGTTCTAAGAACAGAGAAGTAACTGAAAACTTTGTCAAATTATAAAATAATTAATACAAAGATATTACAAGTAAAATTAAATCTTAATTTATTAAGGACTTATACACACCCTTCACTAGGTTGGTGGAAGCCTGGAAGTCATTTACCAAATGTGTCACCCAAACTAAGTTGACTTTTTCAGGCTATTCTGTTTTCATATATCATTAAAAAAAGATTCCCTCAAGCGTCTATGTAAGTTGGTTGCCAGCTTTCCTCTGTGTTTAGTGTAAGGTTTTGAGAAGAAGAGCCTCATTTAAGAATGCATTCAAACACTATGTTTGAGTATGCATTAGCAGCAATGTAAATCACTGAGATTCTGCAAACAAAAGCAGTTTCTCTTAGGCATACTCACTATCCAGGGAGGAGGGAAGCAGATATATAGATAAATAGCCCAGAGTTCAAAGAAAGCTGATATGTAAAAGATGGACATGACTCATGGTGATCTGTCAAAGATCAACCAGGGTATATATGCATAATCCTGTGACAAGTTAAGCACTAATGTTATATTTGAGGCAGGGACTGGGGTGAAGGTAATTCAGAAATAACTTTGATGAGAAAAGGATGGTAATTATGAAGGACAAATTAATTCAGTTAAGGTTGACATGTTTCTGAGTGTTTTGTTAGATGTGAAGCAAATGGAATAGTTTTCTGCTTCAAAACTACTATATGTGCTGTGTTAAGGGGAGTTTATATGCATGTGTGTACATTTAATCTTGCACAAATATATGTGCAAGCAGAGGAGAGACAGCATTGCTATCTGTTTCAGTTGCTCTTGGCCTTAAATATTCAGTTAGGGCCTTTCTCTGAACATAGTGCTCATTGTATCTGCTAAGCAAGCAAGCCAGTGGATTCCAAGGAACTGCTTCTCTCCACACCAAACCCCTTACCATCCACACTGGGGTTACTACTCTGCACTTCTTTGACCAGCATTTATTTGGGTGCTGGGCATCAGAACTTATGTCCTCACACTTGTACAGCAATACTTTTATGTACTGTGCCATATACCCAGCACCTAAAGGATTAGCTTAACTTATAACTTATGCAATATATAAGAATAAACATTAAACAGGGTATGATTTATAAGTTTTTACACATTAATGCTGAATATTAGGAAGAACTTATTCATAAGTTGGTGCATTTCTCTTTTTCCATGTTTCAAATATTTTATTTTCTTACTCATACAGTATGAAGTTCTCTAAAGATTTCAAAACATGAATCATGCAGAAGAAAATTTAAACATTCAACATAAACCATGCCCTTCCCACCTCCCTCACACAAACTAAAAAAGAAAACCCCTCACTCCCCAGTAAGGAAATAGTTTGCACTATTTTTTTCCACAACACCAGCCAAGATATGCACAAGCAAGAGATACAGAAAGCATTTGCTAAAATATTTGTAACAAATAATTATGTACAAAAAAATTCACAAAAGACTAGTTCCCTCTTGAAGCAGAGCACATGGCGGTTGGCACTGGGACAGATCAAACCACTGGCTGGGATTGCAAGCCACCACTGTCTGGGATTGCAAGCCATCACTGGCTGGGATTGCAAGCCATGTCCTGATCCAGAGGGGGAAAGTAGTTACAGGGAGTGGAGATTTTCGTTTTGAATATTAACATTTCCAAAGTTTGGCAACATCATCTTTTAAAATTATGCAAATTATGTAAACAAGAGGTACATTTTAAATTGATCTACATGCAAAACTCCATGTCATGCAAAGACACCAAGCACTGGGATTTTTCTCTCACAGACAGTGTCCATGATGTGCAGCACTCAGTTGAAGGGACAGCAGTGGCAGGCAGGTGTTCTCAATTTAATATTCTCTTTCCTTGATTCAACCTGCCCCTTACCATTCATGATTATAAAACCAATTTATGTAGAAAAACTGTATAGGGAAGACTGCCATATAAAACTCTCCAGAATGTCTTACTTCCAGTCAATAGTACCTTTGCAGAAAGGGGAAGGGATAATGTCAAGTGGTAGAACATGACATACTTTTATGTCACACAAATCTGTTAAATCATCATCCATCACTAGTTGTCCGGGCAAAACAACAAAAATCCATCATGTGCTATCTTCCCTTCTGGCAAAGAAATTTAAAATATATACACAAAATCTGCTCCCCTATGGCATATAGATTAGCAAGATATTCTCCCATTTTAACCACAAACAGAATTTTACATAAATATGTGCTCATTAAGTATCAGTTGAGTTTTTAGGTTAGCTGTATGTCTTTTGAAATGCAGAAGGAAAAATGAATCCATGATTTACAGTTTAGTGACAAGTATTTCCTTGTGTATAATGATACAAGGATATTTTAAGCCATTACATGATTACTTTGGGTTTTCTTCACTAAATAACACATTTAAAAAGTCATGACTGCCTCAGAAACCTTCTGACCTTTATAAAATCACAACTGCTAATTACATTTTCTCAGGGACACTTAATAAAAATAACAGCAACTACTTAAAAAGTATCAGCCTGCAGCAGCCATAGTATATGCAGTTCTATGGACACAAGAACCCACTCTTGGCAACAGCACTGAACTATACCTCCAACAGAGATGGATTAAACAGCTGCTCAGCAGTAAGACAGCCCCTGGAAAGATATTCAGAGCTATAAGTAAAGTTACAGACTCCTTACAAAAGTGTAATTAAGATAAATAATAGGGCATTAACAAATGCTTTATCAATCTCACAAAGGAGAAAGCACAGAGAAAGGAAAATAGCTGGCCTAATACCTGGTGCAAATTGTACAATCTTCTATCTACATATAAAACTGTGTGAAATAAAAGTAAGGATGGTTTATGTTCTGCTTGGCACTTTTGTACTCTAACATTTTGTTTCTGAATCAAGTATATTAAATTAAAGTCAACCTACTAAATATCTAGAAAGCTACATATATCGATATATGCATATTTACATATGTAAATGTAGATACTTTCTTGTTATAATAGATGAAGAAAAATAAATAAAGAGCCACCCCCTTCCCTTTCTCCACCATACTGATATGCTCTTTCATGCTGCTGTCCTTCAAACTTTAAAGTGCTACACTGAGTTATTGACAGAGTAGGAGTTCGATAATAGTTGGCTTCATGAGGCTCAGGTTGGAAAATGTGGCTTCACAGAGAAAAATACTTCCATTTAAATACACAGAGAGCATTGCTGGACGTCTTGAGCAGATCTTCAGAGATGGAGAAGGAAGCAAAAGTGTTGGGTGGTATTCTTCAAAGAGTCACACATCCACCACCATCTTTTTGTGGATCTCTGGGCCACCTACAGCAGCACAGAATTCCTCAAAGGATATACCTCCATCTCCATCCTTGTCTGTACTTACTATGGTTTGGTCTACAATCTGCTGTAACAGTGTATCTTTCAGATTGATGCCCACCATCATCTTCTACACCTGGAAGAGTTCTCCATTGGAAATATAGCCATCTTTATCCATAACATAGATACGGAAAGCAAACCTCAACTTCTGCTCCTTATCTTCTTTGACACTGAACTGAGAGACTCCTTCAATGAATTCTTTGAAGTCTACTTCTCCATTCCCGTCTGTGTCAAATATATTTATTATCCACTGTACTAAATCCGCTGTTCTGTTGTAACTCAGGCAGAGACATGAACTCTTCCTCACTCAAAGAACCAGAATTGTCCAAATCAAGCTTCTTGGCTGTCTTTCCTAGCCTTGCAATTTCATCAGCATCGAAGTATGAGCTCATTTCCAAAGGTTAACTTGCCTCATTTCCCATCTCGCTCAGCGAGCAGCGCTAGCTGCGGCTGTTGGTTCCTGGGGACGCGACGAAGGCGGCTTTGCTGTCCGGTGCCACAGGGTGCAAAGGGGCCTGGGCCCGAGGTGGGCGGAGTCCCGGTTGGAGATGCCTTAACGCTGGCCAGAGGGAGGAGAGGGTTGTAGCCTCACGCTCAGGGGCGTCCCCGACTCCCTGCAGCGGCTCGAAGTTGGTGCATTTCTGACTGAGGAATCATTACACTCAACAAAACCTTAAAACATATAATCAGCTACTTGCATCTTTGGTTAGAATTTATAAGGCCAGTGCATGAGCTAGAAAATGTTTCCCTGGTGTTTTGTTTGGAGCAGAATCCTCAGTAGAAACAGACAGGGAAAAGAAGGTAGATGGAAGAAAAATTAAATCACACGTAGAAAGCTGAGACTGCAACACAAATCTTATTAGACTTACTCCCACCTTGTTGTCAGAAGACTAGCTTTTGCTCCCTAATTCCTAAAAAACACTAGCTTCTGTTCCAATTACAGAAAAATTATATAGAAAGTAGAGTATATCATATAATATTCTGGGAGAGATGAATCCGTTTGGCCAAGAACAATTTTCTGAAGAAGTTGTAAGCTTTTTATTAGTTCAACATCACTTAGTGATAGTTGCATAAGTGGAGGAGAGGCTCAGATATGAAGCAAAAACGTCATCCAGTAGCCTGAGGTCATATTAGGTGACATGAAGGAAAAGAAAGGAGCCCGCCAGGTAAATACTCAGGACTGTGTTAATATGCATACTGACAAAATGATGTCACGCATTTAGATTTTGTCTGGGAAATTCATGGTCATATGAATGTGAAGGATGAATGATCGTTGTGAAAGGCAGGAAACTATCAAGTTTATGCCTGATTATAGCTATCATCATTTCCATGTAAATGAAAAATGCAAAGTAAAACTAACAAACAACAATGAAAACCAAGTATCTTGTCAGGAATCATTAAGGAAAGAACAGTATGTATTTATATCCTTGAAACCATCCCCCCCCCATAGGCATAAACAGAAAAATCTTACATGTTTCTCAAATGACTTTTTCCCAGTGCCATTCGTGAAGTGAAAAGATGAACTGGAATAACATTATCCAGACAATAGTCTTCCTTTCTCTTACTGGACCTGGAATTGTGGGCAATATCCTAATGTTTGTGAGACTTGTGTACATTTCTGCCTCCCGGACTGAGAAAAAGCCTGTCAACCTTATTCTCATCCATTTGGTATTTACTAATATGATCATTATCTATAGCACAGGGATCAGAGATACAGCCACAGTGTTTTATTTCAAAAACTTCCTAGGAGACATTGGATGTAAAGCTGTGGTTTATTTGGCAAGGATGGCACGCGGCCTTTCCATCTGCTCGACTTGTCACCTCAGCGTGGTCCAGGCTGTCACCATCGGTCTCAGGACATCCATTTGGCAAAAGCTCAAACCACAGACCTCATGGCAAGTTCTTACCTATGTCTTCTTCTTTTGGATCCTTAATATTCTGACAAGTTCCAACTTGTTGTACTATATAACAGCAAGCAGTGGGATGAACAGATCAGAAGTTACTGGGTACATTGGGTGTTGCTATATGCTGCCATCCAGGCACATAGTTAAATGGATTTTCCTCTTGCTCATGGCTGTTCGTGATCTCATCTTCCAGAGTCTCATGGCCTGGAGCAGTGGATACATTTCTTTTCACCTGTATAAACATCACAAGCGTATCTTCTACCTTCATAGCCGCAGGTTTATGAAGAGTTTTAGTCCAGAGATTAGAGCTGCACAGAGTGTTGTCATTCTCATGAGCTGTTTTCTTTTCTTTTATTGGGGAGACTTCATTTTCTCTTTTTATACAGGTTCCATGGTGACTCATGATTCCATTATACTAAATATTAAAACATGTCTAGTACTTGGTTATGCTGTTCTCAGTCCCTTTGTCCTGATGAACAGAGATGGCCCTGTTGCTAAATCCTAGAGTTTTCACTGAGAAATGCTAGGATTCTATTCCTCCCTGAGCTCAAGATGCACACTATCATTTATTTCCCTTAATAGTTTGTATACTACGTGGAGGACATGCAGCTTTGTTATATACCACCAGCATTCCTGTATACCAATTTATAGCCCAGGCCTCAGCCTGGTAATTGATCTGCCTGTGCATTGCCAGCATTTTCCACCTCATCATACTTTGCCCTGATATTCTAATATATCCAAGCATTAAATCAGCTAAACATTATAATAATTTGCATTAAAAAATCAGAGTAGTACAAAACTACCTAAGGCTAGTTCAGGGTTTCTAGGAAGGCAGGAAGTAGATTTTTACCAACTTCTCATTCCACCATCCTTATCATGTGACTTGTGGCTTCTCATTAGCACTGGAGAAAATGCTGATTTCCCCTCAAAAGCCAGAGAAGGAGAACAACATAGGGTAGGTAGAGGTGAGGACATCATCATTTTCTGGGGTGGGTTTACACAGCAGAGTGGAAGTGATAGTGAGACAAGTGATGTCATCACAACTCAGCAGACTTTGCTACCAAGTGATTGATGCTGCCAGATTCCATAAGACAATAATGTGGACAATTCTAATCATGTCAGATCTTAATTAATCACCATGAGAAGCTCTGGCAAATAAGCTATCTCAAATGATGCCATCTTAGGCCTGGACAGCTGTCAGGAGCCAACATAGGACAAGCTAATAAGTAGTAGGTGATCTTCCTGAAATTGTCTGCCTTGGATTAAAATTCCAACACAGATTTTCTCTAACTGAGATTTTCTCAAGGATAACCAAACAAAAAAGAAGAACCACCTGGGCTGGCCTCTGGCAGAGAGCATGCTCCAGACCAGGGCCTCACGAGCACACTGTGAGGTTTAAAGACCTCACTAATAGATTGTTAAGACTAGAACTTCTACCTCTCAGGATTTGTCACTTACAGTGGCTGACACTGAACATCTGGTGTCTGTTAAGCCACTTGGCTTGAAATTCCAGGCTCTATCTTTCCCGCTTAGCTGTGGACCAGGAGACCTGGGTACTGAGGGTGCATAGAAGATCATCTTGGTGAAAGCCAAGGAGTGAGGCCTTGCCAATTGGAAGGACAGTGGTGTTATTGAGAACTCACAGACTTGGGCCCAGGAGGACAAAGACAGTCCAGAAAGAGCTATGACCTGGTGTCTTTCAGGATCCCTGTGCTCCAGCCTTTCCCTGGAGCCTTCTGTCAGTATAGTATATGCATTGCATTGGACAATACTGTCCATCAACTCACTACAGTTCCTACTAGAAGAAGCCTTGGCACTGTTTCAGGAAGAAATTGCCTCCCCACAGAGGCATCATGCAGCTCAAATGACATGCACACACCTATCATGCATTTTCTTTCTTTGTTATAAAATTGTGACATTGCTACAGAGAAGAGGGGAAGGAAGGAGGAGTCTTTCATTCCCTGATTTAGCCAAACAATAAATAAATCTATTTGTTTTGTCAGTTTGTTTCCTAATTTCCTTAAAGAAGTAGTAGTCTTCTAAAATTATTTTTTGTTTCCATTTTCATGTCTCTGTATGTTTTTAATCGGTGTGTGTCTGCTTGCATGTGGGTGGGCACATGTGTACGTGATGTGGTACACATTCACATTTGTGCACATCAGCATGCACAGAAGTAGATGTCAGGAAAAGGCCAAACTTAAGAATAATAGGAATAGAATATCAAGATTACCAGATCACAGGCCCAGAAAACATCTTCAACAACATCCTAGGAGAAAACTTCCCTTACCTAAAGAAACAGACACCTATAAATATACAAGAAACTTCCAGAACACCAAACAGATTAGACCAAAAAAAAACCTCCTCCACCCACATAATAATCAAAACACTAAATGTACAGAACAAAGAAATATTAAAAGCTGCAAGGAAAAAGGCCAAGTAACATATAAAGGCAGACATATCAGAACTACACTTGACTTCTCAACAAAGACTCTAATAGCTAGAAGGGCCTGGGCAGAGGTCTTGCAGACCCTAAGAGCACACAGATGTCAGTACAGACTACTAACTATACCCAGCATAACTTTCAATTGCTATAGATGGAGAAACCAAGATATTTCATGACAAAACCAAATTTAAACAATAACTTTCCATTAACTCAGCCCTGCAGAGGATACTGGAAGGCAAACTCAAACCCACTGAGACTAACTACACTCAAGAAAAATAAATATTTCTACACCATTCAAATCAATAGAAGACACACACACACACACACAATCAATATCAAAATAACAGGAAGTAGCAATCATTGGTCATTGATAGTTCTCAGTATCAATGGACTCAATTCTCCAATTAAAAGTCACTGGCTAACAGAATGGATGCGTAAACAGAATCCATCATTCTACAGTATACAAGAAAAACATATCAACAACAAAGATAGATATTACCTCAGAATAAAGGACTGGAAAACGGTTTCTAAGCAAACAGACCCAAGAAACAAGTTGATGTAGCCATTCTAATGTCTAAAAACCTAAACTTTCACCCAAAAGTCATCAAAAGACATGGCTGGGTAAGGAGTAGATGTCAGGAAATATTCAAACTCCAAGCTGAAATCAATCA